GTCTTTTGAGGAATCTCCACACTGTTTTCCATAGTGGCTGCACCAAACTGCATTCCCACCAGCAGTGTAGGAGGGTTCCCCTTTCTCCACAGCCTCTCCAGCATTTGTCATTTTTGGATTTTTGAATGATGGCCATTCTGACTGGTGTGAGGTGATACCTCATTGTAGTTTTGATTTGCATTTCTCTGAGCCACCTCCATTTCTTGACTCTCAACCCAGCAGTTCAATAAATAGTTGTATCAGAAGTTACCAAGTACCTATCTTTCTCAAGTCTCAGACCCCATCACTGTTGACTTCCCTGTGGCTTTGGACCCCAAAGCTGCCTCCCTCCAGTCTCACTCAGCACACATGGACCCCCGTCTTCTCTCTCTGTTGACCACACCACCCTCCTGGGTTTCCTCACCACCATCCTCTTTTTGGTCTCCTTCCTTTCTCTTACTTCTTAGACTCAGCATGTGGAGTTAGCACTCAGCAAATATTTTGTTCACCGAGTAAAGAGATGGTAGCAGCTAGAGCATCATCTTAAATTCCTCACTGGCTTTTAACCCCTCATGTCTCAGTTCTTATCAGATCCTATGTGTTCACTCATTTATTCTCCTCTCTCCTCTCTATTCCAATTGCCGCTCCTGCTGCTCTAGTCCAGGTACTGACTGGATTGTGGCCAGCAAGGTCCTGCATTGCATAAGTCTAGGAGGTCCTGTCTACCTTACAGTCTGTGAGTGGCAGCTCCTGGAGTTGTGTGGTACACAACCTCCAAGTGTGTCTGATGTGGTTTCATCATTCTCTTCCCAAAAAGAGCCACTCTCCTGCTCAGAAATCATCAGTGTCTTTGCTTGGCTAATCAAGTCTAATTCCTTATTATGGCATCCGAGGCTTTCTTACATGTTCCCCGTCTATTTTTCCAGCCTCTTCTCCCATCCTGCGTGAGCCCTTACCAGCCACGTGACATTGGGCAAATTGTTTAACTTCCCCAAGCCTGTTTCCTCGTCTATAAGATGAAGGTGGTAATGGTGCATAACTCAGAAAGACAGTGCCTGCGAAGTGCCTGTTCAGACACTCTGGCCTCCTGCTTAGACAGCTCTAACCCTACCCTCCGCTCACTGTCCCCAGGCAGGCCCTGCCCTTCCCCACTCTCAGGTCTTTGTTCAGGCTGTTCTCTCAAGGCAGGGTACCCTTTTTCTGCTCCATAATTCCTGTTACCTGTTGAAATTCTATTCTTCCTTCAATCCCCAGATGAAACTTCATCTCCCCAGTGAAGCCTTCCCTGATTCCCCCTAGGAGGAACTCATCTCTCTGCTCGGTGTTCCTGTGGCACTGATTTATACTTCATTGGTGAAACATATATCACATCTCAAATTACACTTATTTCTGGACTGTCCCCCTCGCTGTACTATGCACTCCTTGGAATCAGGGACCATGACTTTCATTTAGTTTAGTAAAAGGTGGTGAGCACCTACTGTGCTCGTGATGAGGGGACACAGGAGTGAGCCAGTAAAGTCCCATCCCAGAGTACCCAGTGGAGTGGAGAAGCCAGTGATTTGAAGTATAAGCGAGCCTTCTTACAGAAGGGAAGTGCAGAATGCTGTGGGAGCCTATCCCGTGGGAACATGTTCTTGTCCAGAGCACCGCGCTCAGCCCAGCCTCTCCAGCATCAAGAAGTACCTGACAAATGGGAGGTCTTTTAGGAGACTTGACTTCCGGTGCCCATGGCTGTTTCTCTCCGGGAAGCCTGTCCTCCCTGTCAGCTCCTTCAGAACAGACTGCTCAGATTCAGGCATGAGGTCCTGCTGTGGGCTGGCCCGGCCTGAGGTTGCTGTGGCCCCTTTAAGAACAGGCCCCACATGCACTGCTGCTGGCGGCCCTGCCTCCTGTCAGCCTTCTTCCTCCAGCCTCACAGCCACAGGAGGATTTCTCAGCAGAGAAAAAATTCCCCCCTTCCCTTCTCCCCCCGCCCCCCCCGCCTTTAATGCCCGGGGCCCTTCACTTCCATAATTCTTCATTTTCCAGCCTTGAACGTAAGCCAGACACATCTGTCTGGCCATATGCGTGAACCCTGGAGTCTGTGCCGAGGTGGCTGTAAAACAGGGCCGGTGAAGGCCCTTCTGGGAGAGCACACACATGTGTGTGCCCTCGGGCCATTGGCTCCCTGCCCAGAACCACGGGGCTGCAGCGCTCCAAACCCATGTTAACCTTTTCTTATTTTTCCTCTTTTTGTTTAATTTAAGGGGGGAAAATCCCAAGGAAAAGGTATAAATTGTCCTGGGAGTGGGGGAGAGGCTCCTAGCTAGAATGGCCATTATTGTTGGCAGGTACCTGGGTCACACTAATACAATAAGGAAGAGAAGAGCATCGGGTGAATTAAGATCGGAGAGATGGGCTGTAAATTACACTGCTCTGAACTCCATC